GCTGGCTGAAGTGACAATTTATAATTTAGCCTGAAACAAGCGACACAAATAAACACAGTTGGTTTTTGTTAATCGACTAACGTGTTCGTTCAAAGTTGGTGTGTAAAATTGAAGCTGCTTGAAGGCAAACCCTCTGCCTGCTTTTTGTCACCAGTCCACCTCTGCTTCATATTTTCAATAACATCTGTGCTTTACCTGCTATGACGATGAAAATCTCAGCAGGTTTGCTAGCAGGAAGATACCAGATTTCTGAGTCAACTGCTCTTTTGACTCATAGTATTTGTGTAGCACTGTAAGCAGATGACCTCCCCATTCCATGATGCCATTTGGTTACTGTGACAAAACTGTGGCTCTTTGTTCTGGACTTTGATGAGAGTGCAAACAATACCACTACGTCACATAGCAACCAAACAGTGGCTATGTTTTTAAGGCTGGTCAAATCTTGTAGCATCCACAAATTAGGTTTGTGAACCGGCAGCTATTATCTGTTTTGTTAGCCAACAGAAGAGCTCTTAAGAGCAGATGTTTTGGCTTTATTATAGTGGGAAGAGCACAGGTGTGAGTAATAATAGTAGCAACGGTTGTGTTCCAGTAGGTTTAAGCCATGACAGTGTAGCAGTGAGCCACACAATAAGCACAAAAAAACAAACAAACAAAAAGAACGCTTTCAGTCCTCATTCATGTTATCATTTGCTGTTCCCTCTGAAGTCTGTCAAATTGTCTCCACTGCAAAGGGCCATACAAGCAAACATACGACTGATAATTATGGACAGGCTTTACCCAAGATTATTTACTACAGATGAGTAAAATCAGTGGAAACACGTTAATTTGTTCTCTGAAATGCTGATAAAAACTGTTTGGACTATTTACCTTTATATTTTGATATTTGACTGCGTGGTGAGTAGACATGACAACATTTTTAATTTCTGGGGAACCATTTCTTTAACTCAAATCTAAATAAATCATGTAAAGAGCAATACATGATCCAGTCAGCATGCTATAATAATAACAATAATAATTGATCAGATTTATATAGCGCTTTTCTAGACACTCAAAGACACTTAACACTGTCAATTCTTCATTCACACACATTCATTCTGGTGGTGGTAGCTACGGCTGTACCCACAGCTGCCCTGGGGCAGAGTGACAGAGGCGTGGCTGCCATTCTGACCACCATCTCAAACAATCCATTCATACGCATTCACACCAGGCAGGGTGGGTGAAGTGTCTTGCTCAAGGTCACAACGACCATGACTCAGGTTACAGGGCGGAATCGAACCGTCGACCTTCCAATCATTGACCGAGTCGCTCTACCATCTGAGCCACAGCCGCCCAAATATGAAATTAAATAATCAGTAGGTACATTTAGCACATTTCTAAACACTAGAAACTAACACAAATGCAAAACAGCATGATTTCTGTTCTGAGTGAGCTAAAGTAAAGTCAGCAGTACAAATGTGACTGGTGGTGTTACTAACCTGCTGTGTCCACCATCCTGTTGGAAGATGCGGATGGTCTTGTCAAAGCTGGCAGACACAAACTCTTTCCCAGTAGGAGAATAGTCGACATCCAGCACTGCAGAGACATGGTCCATGTGTACTGTGAAGGGCTTGTTCAGGTTCCTCATGTCGTATGTGTAGAGGCTGGTGAGACAAACAGAAAACAAAATGAGCCCTTAAAGCGTCACCACTCGCAGACGTATAATGTAATGTGACCTTCTTAGAAATTTTACTCGAAATGCAGCTCCATTTAAAGGTTGGTAAGATCTATTTGTTTGATGAAAAAAAGACCTTCTTCTTGGACTGTACTGCATTGCCTCTCTCAGACAAAACCCACATGAACATTTTTCAAGAGATTCATAGCTATGGACTCACATAAGATCTTATTCAGTGCCAGTAAAAATACTATCCTGGGAATAAACTGGATTTTCTCTCTTAAACTTACTTGTAGTCCTCATTTGCACATGTAAAGTGATAGGCTTCCATGGGATTCCAACATAATGTGTTGCTCCTCATTGTCATAATAACCTGGAGAAGAAAATGGAAGCATAAAATGGCTATATGTCAAGTCCTGCAAAGAAAAAACATGAGAAAAGGGTAAATTCCTGCACCAGCCATTTTGAGGACTCTACCTTTTTAAGTGGCGCTGATTCTCTCATGTCATACAGCACTATACTCCTGTCAGAGGCACAGCTAGCAAGAAGTTCAGTCTGTGGAAAGACAAATCGTTTAAGTTATCAGGAGGATATGAGCTTTAAATAAGTCCGACAATCACCACTTCAATAACTTTATACATGTCTAAACACAGTGAGACACAGCAGAGGGTGTGATGGGTCCAGCACATGGTATCTTACCTCCACAGGGTTGAAGCGGACAGAGCTGAAGCTGTCTACACCCCAGGTAAAAGAGCGGATCGGACTGCTCCTCTGCTCATCCCAGATGTCCACCTGCTGGCCACAAGTTGCAAACACAGCCTCCTTCTGGTGATGGTCCAGTCCCGTAAATACAGTCTGCAAGGAACGTTTTTTATTTTAAAATACAGCCATAAAGTTATGCTTCAGTTACATATGATGACGCGACTACAGCTAATCTTAACGAAAAACAACAACAAAAAATACGACAGCAACTGGTCATACCTTGCCCAGGATTGTGTTTAGCGGCTCCTCTGCCTCTCCGTAACCCGGTGCTTCCATTTTCCATTGCTTGATTGTTTTGTCATCGCCAACCTGTTGCAGCCAACATACCAAGGCATTAAACAGAAGAGACGTCAGCTTATTAAAAAGTCAAACAATTAAAAACAAACTTAGATGTCGAAGAGGAACATTTACCGTAAAAAAGGATGTTCCACAGAAGCGGACAACCATTCCTCGCACAAAACCTTCATGTGCTTGAAGTGTGCGGACGCAATCATGTTTGGTCAGATTCCACATTTTCACCTAAAAACCACATTTAAAAAAAACTGTCAATTTCAACAATGAGTTTATACCACTTTTACTACAAAGGCCTCACAAATGGTAATGTTAGGTCATGTATTTCTCCATCAGCACATTGTTACCTCCCCATCGCAGGAGCCCGACAGAAGGGTGGAGAGGCTTTTGGTATGCTTGGCCATGCAGTTCACCCCATCTCTGTGACCATCCAGGGAGGCCAGGAAAGGCTTGGCAAACACCCGCTCCAGCTTTGTGGCATTTAGAGCCCGCGTGTACTCTCTGCTCACCTCAAATGGATGAAGGGAAGGGTCGTAGTTTCTAGGGACTAACAACAGACAGTAGTCACTCCTTAATGGGCTGACAGGACACAGCATTTGAATGTATACATTCATTTAAAACGCTTAAGTATGCAGACAAGCTGACACCATTACAACCTATTTTGACATATCCTGCTTTTATTTGCTTTCTTTATTTAATGTGTATCGAGCTATATCAAAGTGAAATCCTATTAACCATCTGTATTTTTATTTAAGTGTGTAAGTGTATTTGTTTCTGTTTGGTTGTCATTGTTAACATTAAAATTATTACCGGCGTAGCTTGAATAATAAACTAGTTACATTCAAGGTGAGGTAGTTAAAATAAATTGCCCTTTTTGTTGTTACTGTGCTGATGTTTATTTTTTTAAAAAGTAGGTCACTAAAAATTATCACTAATTACACGGGGTTACAAAAAATTATTTTTTGAAGGTGTCTAGGATTTTTTAAACTGATTTAGGACATTCTTGCAATGCTGAATCCAAAAATGACATCTGCTTTTCAGTATCAGGTCAGGTTGTTATGCCAACTAGATTTTAATTTTTTTTTTGATTTTGCCACTAAATCGATTGCATTTTTTGACATAAGCGATGGATTTATTTTAGTATTTCTCATATCTCATTTTCTAATCCCTTTCATAAGCGAAATGATCCAAAAGTTGATGAGCGAAAACATTTGTGAAGGTAAATACAAGTAAATTGCATGTTTCATCAGCATCGTTCAAAATTCAGGGCTTGAAAATGCGCTTCTTGGAACTCCTGGAATGATGAGCAGCAGGTATATCTCTCTTCAGAGTCCAGCAGTAATCAGCCATCATGACCGCGTCTCTGATACCTGGTCTCCATCTCTTTCCCATAAAATCACGTGACTCTAATGTGCTGTTCATATACCCGGGGGTAAACTTTCTATCTAAATTTAATACATCTGTAAACTTTTATAGTATCTACTTGTAAAGGTTTCAGAATTTGTTCATTTCAGGAAACAGAAAAAGATCATTGTCATGAGCATTTTTGCAGCCAGGGAAATTTGAATAGGATTAAAATACATTTCATCATAATTTGGAGTCACAGTTTGTTAAACAGTGGAATTCCACGTGCTGTTTCATTGTACCTACATACAGGCTATAAGCTCATTTCTATTTAACATGCAGTAAGCTTACAGTTTGTTGCATGTGTTAGCTACATGTTGCCAAACACATAAAAACGTATGCTTCCATTGACATTAAAGTTTACAGACAACGACAGAGATTTTCCAGAGACAAAAATATCGCGTTTTTAAGAAGGCAAAGAGTCGGACAAACCTTTACACTCTGCAGATGTGGCTAATGTTTACTGAGAAACACTGGTTAGCATTACCGCTAGCTAGCAAACTATGTTTACCTTCTCCGAGTTTAAAATGTTTTTACTTACCACGCTGAATATCTAGTTTGGTCTCCCGGACATAATCGTCCGGGTTCCTTGAAAGGACTTTGACTTTCATTTGGAAGCGGAATGAAAATGGACACACACTCAAATAATCGTGATTTCAGCAAGAAAAATATTAGCAAGGACCGCCTGCATCAACCATGTGTTAGTGAAGAAGAAACGTTTCGGACCCGCGTTGCATTGTGGGATGTTCGGTCCTCCTGACTACGTCACAGACAGGCGAAGGAAACTGTAAAGTTGCAACATTTAGCGAGAAAGAAAGCGGAAATAAAGACATTTATCTTTAAGTCTCAAGTCAACTTTATTGACATCTCAACTCTACACACAAGGTGGATAAATTAAACTGCTTTCCTGCTAAAACCAGTACAAGACAGGAACAATGACAAAACAGAATACACACATCATTTGGACAGAATATTTATCATCGAATAGTCAAACATCACTGCATGTACAATTTGTACAATTCCCACAATTTCTACAATTTCATTCGGCAGACGCTTTTATCCAAAGCGACGAACATCTGAGAGCAGATACAACACAAGCAAGGATCTAGTCAGGAGAAAACAATCTAGATAAGTGCCATAGAACAAATAAGTGAGTAAACAAAGAAGTTTTATGCTATAAAAATAAATAAATAAGTGTTAAGTAAGTAATAAGTAATTATAGTTAAATACTTTTGTTCAGTCTTCCCTGTTATGTGTAAGTGCTGACAAGAAAAAATCTTAGCGATATGCTGTACATTTTTTCATAAAATAACCATACATTTCTTTCTTTAGTGCATGTGTTTGTGTGGGTGTGCACATATGTAAAGAGTTACTGGTTGGAGTGTCAGTTTATAGATATTATGATAAAATGTCTTTTCTTGAAGAGGCTTTACCAAATATTCAAAAGAATAAAGAAGACAGAAAATCAATGCAAACAACAGCATCCCTTGAGAAAAAACATATTATGCAAAAATAATACACAAGCTTAGATATACAAAAAGCCAACAAATAAGATTTGAAAAGTACAAGATAAGTAAGTATTAAATAGTTGTCAAAGCCCCCAAAAATAGCATGATATAGGCGAACAAAAATGTTGGGATATTATTTTACTGTTTGTGAAAGTCTGATCTTTTTATTAAAGTCATGTCCAGTGTTTAATTTTATCTTACAGAAAGGTGTTAGCAGTTAATCATTGTGTGTATGGACGCCTCCTGAACTAAATGGTAGAAGATATAAAAGAAAACAAGTATGTTTAAGGCAAACCTTCACATATGTAACTATGTTGATTTCAGTGTGCACTCAGTGTGACATCATTGTAAAACATTGGCCAAACACAACAGGAAAGTGGGACACTCTTACTCTGCTTAGAGCACAGTGTTTCATTCTCAAATGACTTTAAAATGGAGCTGTCATATTGTCAAATCGATCGACTGTGGACTGAGCAAAAATATTAAGAAAATTTAAAAAAAATTAAAAACAACGCGTTCAATACTTTAAGTCGTGTCTTATTTTGAAAGGTGCAGCCGGTAGTACTGCTTTGAAGCGTCACCTTGACATCTACTTGATACTAGCAGCAAGGTCGAGCCTCGGCGCTGTTGCATGACATTTGAACGTTACAGCAGGTATGGGCGACCACCGCATGTAAAAAACGTGGTTCGTTTGGTAACATGTCATGACAATGTCCCGGTTTTATAGTGTGTGTATCATATTTACATCGTACGGCGGAGCCCACGAGTTGTCGTCTCCGTTATATAGAGTAAGTTAAGCTTTTAGCATTAACACACGGAGCGCTGTAAACACGGCTAGCTGACACACGCTAGCTAATTACCTGTTAACATGAGCTCAGGTCCGAACCACGGCACCGTTACAGAGACAGGGCTGTCCAGAAAACCCGTCTCTGCTGTCTCGCTAGCCGGACATGTCCAGCAGGTCTTCAGCCATGTGAAGATAGAAAACCTTTTAGCGGGACTCAGCGGTGGAGTTGTGTCAACGCTGGTGCTTCACCCGCTGGACCTGGTCAAGATCAGGTTTGCAGGTACAGTGTGAAAGTATACTGCAAATAGTGATTCTGTAAACACATACAAATCTAAAAAGACATGTAAATCATCAGCAGTACTTTAGATTATGAGGTATATAAAGTATAAACCTACAGTTTCTTGTCTTTGTATGGAAACCAGAACTCCTTTATTTTAAAAAGTTAATTTCCTTAGTGGCAGAAGCCAAAGTGCTGATGTTGATATGTTTCATTTGATGACATGATTTTGTTTGATGTCTTTTCAATACAGTGAGTGATGGACTGGAGTTACGACCCAAATATAGTGGCATATTTAACTGTATGAGGAGCGTCTGGCAGCAGGAGGGACTGAGGGGACTCTACCAAGGAGTGACACCCAATGTTTGGGGTGCTGGCGCGTCCTGGGGCCTTTACTTCTTTTTGTACGTTAGCTATAAACCTGTCACACCTGCATGACGAGGTTTTTCGTTGATAGTAGCAACACTGACAATAATGTGCGATACTAAGATGTCTCTTTCCCACACTATCTTCTCTTCCAGCTACAATGCAATCAAAGGGTACACAAAGGAAGGTCGTCAGACTGAACTGAGCGCCACAGAACACCTGGTGTCTGCCGCCGAAGCAGGTTAGTCCCATATGTGTTTGAACACTGCCGCCTCGCATAGTCAACACATGGTCAATAACGACAGCTAGATAATACTGCACCGAACTGGATGGAACCAACAGGGGGCAGATACAAATTAGTATACAGCTCCGCTGTTCATTGTTGTTTGGTCACATGGAGCTGATTACGTTTTGCAAAATTAAGTGCTGAAGATAAAGCTTCTATGAGGATTTGGAAAAATTAAAGAAGGCAGAGGAGAGTTGGTTTTTATAGCTGTTGTCGACTGCATTACAACAAAAAAAGATGTGACAACACATACATTTGTTATGAGGAGGCTCCAAAATGCAGAAAGGACTTCCGTCTCAAACGTAATCTCATATTAATCCTTGTGAAACATAATTATTCACTGTATGTACAAGGCGTGACTTGCTTTGCTCTTGTCATGTTGTTTTGTTTTTTTTTTAAAATCAGGCCCTCAATAAGGTTTTTATCAGTAACTCACTGCTAGTATCAGTTCGACGGTAAGATTCAACTGGTGCTTGGATGATAAGATAAGATCATTCTTTATTGATCCCCATAGGGGAATATATCTAGTGACCTAATATGTGCCAAGAAACAACTCTACCCCAGCCGTCATTAATAAGTTTACGACCTAACTGTTGCAATGTTAGAACTATGGCAAGCACTGATATAGATATTTGGTAATAATAAAAAAGTCTGCTGATAATAATCAACATTCTGTCACAAATTTCTTTCAAACTATGTAATAGTGATGCTGTTCATACATGCTCTCAGATCAACCTTGGCATTTCTACCCTTCAGTTTTTATTGGTGGACATACAACTTGATATGGACACATCTCCAATGAACTGTAGTGCCGAAAAACAGAAGTTTGCAGTATCAGGAAATTGTAGCACTGTAGTCAACGCCTCTTAGATCAGGCCTCATTTTGTGTTTGCATTTGGAGGAGCTGGACCACTTTGTCCTGGTTTGCAGGGAGTCAATTTTGCATTACAGGCCACATACGATGAACTATACTGTTTACTGAAGGAGCCAAGTGTTCGTGAATAATCATGTGTAACGAATAAAATCACATTGTAACAATTTCACATTTGTTCTCAACTAGGCATCCTAACACTCACCATAACCAATCCAATCTGGGTGACCAAGACCCGGCTGGTGCTGCAGTACAACGCTGACCCAACCAGTAAGCAGTACAAGGGCATGGTGGATGCTTTGATCAAGATCTACCGCCATGAGGGACTGCCTGGTCTATACAAGGTGACACATCAGTGTATTTGTGGACTTACATATAATGTAATTATAGTAATACTGAAGTTGTGCTGTGCAGGCTGTTTTAGATTACAGTTAAACTCTACTGAAACCAAAACGCTCCCTTGTCCTGCTCAGCCTTATTGATATTTGCCCTTTGTTCATTAATCCCCACTAGAGGGCGTCACCAGCCTTTATTAGCTGTAAAACACACCTAATGAATAATGGTAATCACATTCTGAATTTTAAACTGAATTTCAGCTTCTTTGTTAACTATATATATATATATATATATATATATTATAAGCCTTGCAATTTCATCATGGCTTAATTCCGGACTAAAAATGTGACAAACGGTAATTTAAGTAGGTAGGAAGCTGCAGATAAAGCACAGTTGTGTTTCTGTCTGTGGATAGTTTATACTGTAGATATTTGAGTGTGTGAAGACAGAATAACTTACAGAGTATGTATTCAAAAGGGTTACGTTCCTGGTCTATTTGGGACATCACATGGAGCACTGCAGTTCATGGCCTACGAGGAGCTCAAGAGAGACTACAGCAAATACAAAAAAGTGCCTTTGGATACAAAGCTGGTGAGTCATTAACCATGGGCCACAGACAAAAGGGAAACATGCCTACTGTTGAATAAAACTAAAGGATAAAGCTTGTAACTTTTGAGTTTAATAAGACTGAAACCACAGTTGATAACAAGTGACTCATTGGTTTTCCAGCACTACTTACTCCCCCCTCCTCCCGTCTCTCTCCATTTGTCTGACTCTGTAAACAGAATGCGCTGGAATATATCGCAATGGCAGCATTGTCTAAATTATTTGCTGTGGCCACAACATACCCTTATCAGGTGGTAAGAGCTCGACTGCAAGACCAGCACAATAAATACAATGGAGTCACGGATGTCATCAGACGGACGTGGAGGTAAGAAGCTCATCTTGCACATGACGGAACCAAACATGCTACTGTAATGGGCCGTAGTGTCCAGTTTGATTCACGGTTATTGTTTTCTCACTTTCTGTGCAGGAACGAAGGCACCATTGGCTTCTACAAAGGCATCATCCCAAACTTGATACGTGTCACTCCTGCCTGCTGCATCACTTTTGTGGTTTATGAGAATGTGTCGCGCTTCCTTCTGGGACAAAACAAATGAGGCTTGAAGGCATGGCATGGACAAAGAGTGTGAGCTCACACTGACAGCGGTGCCACACGGAGATACAGAAGGAGCAGACGCCCAACTCTGTGTTCAGTACATGTAAATGTGCCGAAGTGAGAATCATTCACTGAGAGCAAATGAAAAAGTTGTCAAATGGAGCAACACAGTCACCAGTGGACTATTTTTTTTCTTCTTGTTTCAATTCAAATTCTGGCTTGTCAGTGAAATATAATGAAGCTGTCACATTTCTGATTCAGACGCACAATTAACTCCTGGGAAAGAAGTATGTCGCTGTTCTCCCCACTGGAAATAATACTGCTGTGATGATAGGTTTTTAAAAAAAAAAAACCTGATGTGTTCTGTAAGTCAGTGTTTTGGGCTCATTGTGGAGGCAGTTGATGAATCCAGTATTTCATCATTCAGTAGTTATGTTTACATGTAATGCTTTCTGGCAGCAGAAAGGAAAAACTGTCCGAACTATGAAAAGCTTAATTATAACCAAGAAATCCACGATCTTCTCAGGTTTCTAGTGGCATGTTTGCATCATTGTAGTTTGTCTCTTAAATTATTTCTTTGAGAACAGCAGCAATGAGAACGGCTTTTAGTGCAAACACATCTCTCTAAATTCATACTTTGCATTATTTTGTTTTCTTGACACAAATTGTGACCGCAGAGCTTTGTAACATTTTGTTATAAAATACACACTGTGTCCTATCTGCAATGTCTCATGTGTGATATACTGTATGTAAGTACATTAAACATGTCACTTAATAAAGTGTGTGGTATTTCAGAATTCCTAACATGTAGCAAGCAATGGTATTGTTTTAGTTATATTCTTAAAAAAAGATGACTTTATTAACAGTAATAATGCATGTACAAAAAAGTCATGAATACAGGTTAAATATTGTCAATGTCTGTTAAATGGTTACTGTATTCCAACAGCACCCACAAGGCTACAGTACAAAGTTTATTTCTAGGAGACTGAACAACCCAGTGTTCTGGTTTAAAGGCCTGTCGACTAGTTTTCAAGTTACCGTCAGTGATGCTGTGACGCCTCAGCAAACCACACCTGATCATTTTGGAGGGCCAGATAACATACTGTTACACTACCAACACCGGATCCTCCCTTTCACGTAACTTTTTTTTTTTCATTTCTTATTTAGGCAGTTCCTCAATGATTATCCTGGATACAGAATTCCAGCCTGTAGATGCGTCTCCTCTGGGATAGTCGGCGCAGGTCCCCACCCACACCGCCACATCCACCAACCCTGCTTTGACGCCCTCACACAGCCCTTCAACTAAAGAGAGAGAGAGAAAGAAAAAAGGAGAGGACAGTGCAAATGACTTTCAGGGAACACCCATTCTGTGAATCGTGTTGTTGTGTGTTAGTGGTGAACTTTCTGAAACCCAGCTGGAAGAGTGTTGCCTTAAACACTGGCTTTCCAGGCTCCATAACAGTTGTATAACCACTTGAAGGAAGAGTTCAACATCCTTCTTGCCAAGAGGTTGTTCAGAATGAAAACAAAAACGTGTACTTCCCAAAATACTGAACTGTTGCTTGAAACAAAAGTATTAAAGGGGGTTTGTGAACTCTTCAATGAATAAATGAATAATGAATAAATCGGAAGTACAGACAAATACAATGAGTTTAGGCTAATTACACCAAACAGTTCTGATCCTTGGCATCGTTTTTTTAAAATACAGTCATTTAACGGTGTTGTTGTGCACTCTTGGATTTACTGACTGGTCAAAGCTCTTTTTGTGGTGATAAACTCAAAACAAGTGATTCTAGTAATTCTAGAAGCAGCAGATCAGACATATACATTACTCATGGGGAATTTTGGATGAAACACTGGTTCAGCTCAGCAATACTAATAGTACGTCTAGTATGAACAGCTATCCCAAGTTATTCTACAGCATCTGTGTTAGTGTGAGGTTTGAGCTGACTGGGCCACTCCAGAAGGTGGTTTTTCTTTGATGTCAGTCATTCTGTAGTGATGATGTTTCAGGGCGATATCCTGCTGCATCACCAAACTTCTGCGAAGCTTCTGTTGAAAGGTAGGCTAGACCTTGACATTATCCTGAATTTAGGAGTTCATTTTTCCTTCAATAAAGGCAGAGTAGCCCCAAGTCATGATGATGCCACCACCATACTTCTATCTTAGGGCGGACTTTTTTAATGTTGGGATGCAACAATATTTTTACTCAACACTTCTCATCGGTCCACAGACCTGTGTTTGTGGGCTGTCAAGGTGTGCTTTGGCAAACTTAAGGTGCATAATTATGTTATTTTCATCTTTTTCTTGGAGAGCAGTTGCTTCCTCCATGGAACCCATGCAATGGACGCCTTTGTGTATGTTAGACTCATGAGTAGAGATGTTAGGCAGCTCCAGTGATGCCTGAGGTGTTTTTTAACTTCTGCATTTGGAATCTTGTGTCATTGATTAGATTGACTACTAATTCTAATTTGCTTTTGCTGATGCCACTAGCCTAGAAATTTACATACTTCCACCAACTTACACTGTAAATATTTGAATTATGTATTTAATATAGACAAGAACAACTCCATGATTTGTGTGTTATTAGCTGAAACAAACTGTGTTGTAACTTAGATGCACACCGGACCAGATTTTAAGACAAACATATTCTTGCTACATGGTAACATTATATAACACCATAAAAAATGTTTGTTCAGAATATTTATTGCATAACAAAGCTGATGACTTTAGTCGTACCTGAGGACGTTCTGTGGATGTTGATGGTTGAGTTGAGCTCAGGACTTCCCTGATCTAAGTAAATGATGGACTCTATGGGCAGCGGCCCTGTGCACTCTGCTCCGTTGAAGGTGAAGTACCACCTCTGGCAGCATGCGTTCTTACACTTGAGTCTGAGGGAGCCACTGAAGAGCACTCTGAGGGCGCTGTCGGAGCGCAGCTTGGTGAACGTACAGTCCTGCAACACAGCATTCAATCAGTTTCTGTCTGTGTAACATTCATGTGCAATTGTATTGACGGAAACGTCTTCAGAGAGACAAACAAGATACTTACAGCTACTTTACCCAGGTCGATTCCATAATTCAGAGAGTTCCAGGCACACTGCTTGTAGTTGGGCCTCCAGGGCTCCTCGAAAATCTCACTAATGCACTCCCCTTTTTCACCTTTGAGCCCATCTCGGCCTGGGATGCCGGGGGTCCCCGGGATACCGTTGGCTCCAGGGTTACCGTCTCTGCCAGGGGTTCCTGCTGGGCCCTGCATGCAGCTGCCAAACTGGAAAAAAATACAGAGAAAAGGAAGTCAAGGTGGAAGTTAACAAAGAAACACAGACATACAACAGCGGCAGAATCTATTGTTATCAAACTTCCTGTTTCAGACTTTCTTTGTTGATTTTTTCTCCTGAAGGGGTTAAATCCATGTTTGGGTTGCATGCATCACAGACACCTAAATGCTGCCACCCACCCAACCATCACACACAAGATGCCAGATTATACCTCATCTACAAGTCATATAAACAAATACACTGCCATCGGGCCGAAGCAAGTGTAAAAGCAGATGTGATCCAAACCAAGGCGAAGCAATAGAACCTGCGACCATGAAGCCACGGAGCCAGTGAATGACAGATCGAGCGTTAATGAGGAACTGAAGGCTTGGCGATGGCCTAAATTAGTAGGTGTCTGGCCACACATCTCTTGGTGTGATTCATTGCCCTGTTGAGTCTTCTGCTATGTTTAAACAGATGCAGCATCTTGCACAAGTGACTCAAATACGCACAGACAAACAGAGACCAGGGAAGGTTGCCAACACCGACCACATAGAGAGATAAACACAATGAGGTTCCAAATAGGTTTGTGTAATATGTTTCTTCAAAGAAACATTTTAACCAGCAGATTGCAGTGTGTAGGTTAACTGTTGAAGCTTTTTTTAGCTGGGCTGGGTTTCTAATTTTAGTTAGGTGATTTGTAAGTCATGCTTTCAGCCAGGACGACAGACATAAACTGACACGTAGAAGTGCGTCCTCGCCCTTAAGCAAACACGGATGCCAAAAGCATTTGGGTCTGAGTTTTTGTTGGGTCACGGCTGCCCTTTTGCTCAGCATGCAGCTGGGGAGCAGTTATAGGAGGCGCGTGGCCAAGAGGCATTAAGGAAGAAAAAAACACGCAAAAAGAAAGCAGGAGAAGAGAACAAAGAGCTTTTACTCCAGTTTCACCATGTTGTCCCAACTTGAGTCCCTTGAGTAAAGTACAAAAATGCACCTCAGACTGTGTGAACTTGAAAAATGCTTTAACAATTACAGTATTGTAATGTCAGCTGCCGTGACACAGATGCTTGGACGTCTGGATTTGACATTAGGCGGCTAATGCTGGAGCAACCTGGAGACGTAAGACCTGACATCATCTCTATAGGAAACTGTGGAGTCTGTGATGAAACCAGTAGATTATGGGATGGTGGGCACGTGCTGTAATAGTGCTGGAATGTGTCCTCAAGAAAAAAGGATAAAACCTCAATGCACCTTGGTTTACAGGCGGAAAAAATGTGGAAATGATGCAAGTTCTGCATGAGTCTTAGAGCTCAGTCTCAGCATTTTATAAAGGGTTGGATTTTTGGAGAGCTTTCAAAGCAAACTAATGAATGGAACCTCTGTCCACTTAGCCACACAGCTGACTTTTATATTAGCTTCCAGTCTGCTGTTTCTACAGTGGTGCTGCCTGCCTGCATGAATTTCACTCCAGTCCTGCTGAGTATTGGTAGTACACAGTCCATTACTGTAACGGGAAGCATAAAGACTGCATTTGCCCCTAAAGTGCTGAGGAAACAGTAGCATTTCATGCGTTAGTCAACATCGAAGCAAGGCCTGAAGCCCTCCTGGAGCATGCAGAGCGTGGGCATAGAGCTTTGCTTTGTGAGTTTTGAGTTTCAAGGGGAACCTTAGGAGGATGCAAAATAGGATTTTATGATTACCATGTTGTTCAAATAAGTAGATCTTCCATCTCCAGAGTGTCTAGTGCAGTTGGGCTTTTCTGCATCATTTCCAGTGCACTAGATACAGATGGCAACAGAGGATTCTATTTGTTATATGCTTCTACTGCGGTCACAGCGGTGGAGTAATGAAGAGGAACTGGGGGAACTTAGTGGTTTAGAAAGTGGGGTCTGCAGACTTCTAGGAGTCCCTAAGGGGGAGGGTGAGGGTCCACAAATTCTCAGTAAAATAAACACCAGTTTCAGAGGTTAAAAAGAGAGAAATGTGTGTCCACTCTGTCCTTTCAATCCTCCACTACCTACAGCGTGGAGGGTTATGTAATTCTGCATAAACAGAGTGTAAGAGTGGGAATTCAAGATTAACTTTATTGTCCCTGGCATGGAAAATTTGTCTTGGGCTGTTCACACATGCTGCAGCCAACACAAACTTACACAAACACAGTTAATAGATAGAATAAATAAATATATGCATACATCAAATAAAAGCAGGATAAAATGAATATTCAAGTCTAATTTCATGAGTCCAAAGACATGACACATGGAAGAAAAAAAAAAGGACGAAAAACAATTAGAGCTATGATACTTATTAATTAACCTGATCAAAGTCGAAACAAACCAATTTTTAAACCTATTCGTGATGAGAATAAATGAACTGGAGGATAGAGAAATTAAATAGTGGAACCCTGCTTTGGGTATATGTTATTATCATATGATTGATATTGAAGTATAAGTCACGTTTTTGTCCAAATCCAACTCACACAATCTAATTTTAAACTGGTACAACAGTCACACAGATAACAAAGAGAGACAGACAGTATGAGCCAGACCCCTACTTCCTCTCTGGGATTTTTTATTTTTTTTTGCTCTTATGTCCACTCAGTCTCCTGGAGAACAGCCAAACCTGGAATAACAGAGAACCAGCTGACTTCACAAAAGCTATAAAATGTCATTTTCTCCTCCTCTGCTGGGAGCAGGTAATTTTGGAGAGGATCGTTTTGCCAAAGTGGTGACCACACTCCTACATGTGGATGAATCAGCTTATTTAACGTCATTTTGGGGAAATCAAGTCGTTTCAAGACACTTTAAACAGCAAAGCATGGCGCAAGGAGAAGTAAAGTTGGAGAAAGATGCAAAAAATAATCAATGAGTGATAAATGAGATGCAAGGAAAATACAATAAAGCGCGCTTCATTCGAGATGAGGTCGCTGAGTGTAATAAATAAACTTTTATTGTAGTCATCTTTAGCAGTGAGGAGTCACTACATCTGAATAGAGAACAAAGTTACGCTCGATTGCCGCACATTATCATCAACTTCTACGTTATTTGAGCCCTCTTACCTTGTCGGCGTCAGGATCCTTTCGGTATCCTCTATTTCTCACCTTTTCCACGCCATAGAGAGGTAAAGCCAAGCAGACGAGAAGCAGCAGGCGGGCAACAAGAGGAGACATCATACAATAGACAGAGGAGGGCTGCTGCTGCTGCTGTGAGCTCCGTCTGAGAGATCTGAGGCGACAGTTCGACTCCAACTGCAGCCAGTTTTAGTCCAGAGGAGGCAGGACGAGAGAGAAGGAGCCAGTCAAGGAGCAGAGAGAAAGAAAACATCCCTGTGATTCAAACAGGCCAGATTGTACTCACTGTTAGGAAACACATTAGTGTTCAGGCAAAAGTATAAGATCCAACTCAAACAGGCTGACACAGAAGCATAAGTTCATTTTTTTAATTCAATATTTATACAAAATGAAACAGCACTGATACAAAATTTAATTGATACAAAAAAAATGCAGCAACAATATCTCACAAAACTGTAAGGAGCATTTGATAGACTTTCCTACTTCTAGGTACAGTGAAAGCAAAGACCCCCACCCAAATGCCAGAAGGTATAAAATAGATAACAAACAAGAATAAAGATTCCCTTTTAATTAGTGTTATTGGAATTGTGCTGTGTCTCCCAAATACAAAAAGGTAATCAGTTCCTTATGCAGCAAAACAGACATTACAGCTTTACAAGATTTACTTTCAAATAAATCACAGAAGTTGTTCTGGAAGTACTTGAAGTCCAGATACGTGGTCTGTGACCCATATGTTATAAATAACCCCAAAATAAATCCCCAAATGTTCATTTTCTATTTGTTTTGTATTTATTAATTAGTGGTTTGTGCTTGTAATGATAAATAGTGCAAATCCTGTTTGATTGGTTTCCTCAATTCGATTCAAAGTCTGTGAACATACAGCATCACACATGTAAAAGTTTTTTTTTTTTTTTTTTTTGGAAAAAGAGGCACATTCTTTTAGAAAACTACAAAGCAGTACTTAGCCCGAATCCACAGGACATGTTTTTGAAGACGCCGCAGCACAAAATGGGTTTGTACAGCAGGAACAAGTCAGGAATAAGCATAAAATGAGAACATATCTTTAAAGAAAGCTTAAAAAAAATAAAATTAAAAAAATCATATATTCAAAATCTCTAAAAATCAACTAATATCAAGTTTAAGGAGCAAAAGAAAAGTGGCACATAATGTGTATTACCAGATGAGACTTTAAACCATATTTCCAGGGAGAACAGTAAGACATTCACAATCAGTTTACCACAGGAAGGCTTTCCTTCGGTTGAATGTTTGGCAATATCATGACCTTTCTAACAAAACTCTCAGTGTCGCGACTAGTCCATTAAAAAACTTAATTTCTACTATAAAAAATAATATTTACATAAATATAGTGTTTGTGTACTAGCATACATCATATGTCATTGAACTATCAACCTATGAAACAGTAGACCTAATGCATGCATGACATGAAGTGAACATTGGTAGCTGTATGGTTGGGATACAGCTGTGCATCTGCAACATTCAGGCTAAAACCTCAGTAAAGCTGGAAAACACAGCCGCTACCCAAACAACTAAAACATCAAAAACCTTTAAAATCTCAATGAAAACCCACGGATTCTGGTCCAACATGCTACATTTGAAATACTCGGATATATTACAACTGGCTGGCAATGAACATTCACTGACTGTAATGTAACCAAAATCATAACACAGTAAGCACACATCCACCAGCATCAAGTGTGACTGTATCATAGATGGATGGATGAACAGATAAATTTGGGAGGTCAGACATGTCAACAGCTGCTGTCCTTTGGGTCCTTGCTCTCCTCAGGCACCTGGCGCACCATCTGGTGGGCGGAGTCTTGCAGTCCGCTGGTGTGTGATAGATTTAAAGTTGGATGCTGCAGCTGCTGTCCAATGGGAAGTGGCCTGTTCTCTGACAACTCGCTCTTTGGAGTCATCCTAAACCAGGCAGGACACATTACAGATCAATGTTGGTTATTGCTTGTAGTGATGTAGCTGTGGCTGTACACTCCTGTCACTGTATGGAAGAATCGTTTTGACATTAACAATGCAGGATAGATGAACTTAGGGCCTTCAAAACATGGCCTAGCATATGACACTAGCCATGAAGTTACATTTTAATAAAAGGAAGAAGTAATTCACCTAAAATACATGGAGTAGTAAAAGTGTTTGTGCTTTTATTAAACATTAAGGCGAAATAAAGATACAATTCCAAAAAACCTTTCTTACCTCCCGTCTGCAACTCTGTGCATGCTTTCTGAGCGGCTGCTAATCTTACTGGAGCTCCCCCCTTTGCTGCGTCTCTCTCCCCCTTCCCTCTCCCTCTCTCTCTCCCCCCTCCTGGAGCTTCGGCTGGAGGTGCCTCGGTCCAGGTGCTCCCTGGCCGAGGCCTCAGACAGGGAGCCATGCATGTGGTGCTCATGGTTTCCCAGCGCAGAGGTGCCTTGGTTGGTGGTGGTGGAGATGTTGGTGGGTACAAGGCCGGTGCTCGTGCCCATTGACTTGGAGATCACCTTGAGCTTGTGGGAGTTGGGCTTGTAGTGCTTCTTCTTGTGCTGGACGCGGCTGTTGTGCTTAAGGAAGAACTCGCAGGACTCCTGAAGCACCCGGCGGCTCTCACTGATAGGACTGTGGGTCACAAGATATGAGAGTAAAAGCAGAACAGATAAGCTTGATTACTGTATTGCCACTCCATTAGTGACTGTATGAAAGTGTATCCACATATTCAGTAGTAGTAAGAGATGTGGTCTTACTCTCTCTTGCGGGTCCTGTTGAAAAAGTAGGCCCATTCAGAGCAGGTCTTTTTGCTACTGACCCAGAACACTGCAGATATTCCAACCACGAGTGTCATCAAGTATTTTACCAGAAACAGGGAGAGGTCAGGACGGTCGTGTTCCGTAGTCTAAAAGAAGAATCAAACAGGACCCTTGTGACTTAGAGCAACTGTGTGAATGAACAAATTAAATTATTGGCTCAAAACAAATCAAGAATTTGAAGTTAAGCATCAGGTACTGCTGGTTTTCACAGTGTATTGCAGGACTCAGTAGCTTGTGTATGATGCGTTACATTTCTGGAGTAATGTCAAAATTAACATACGTATTGAAAAGCGATATAATCTTGATTTCTACATAGCAGATTGTCTATTACCTTTACTTTTCCCTATTAATGTCTTTCCACAGTGTTGATTTTTTATATTGTAAGTTATGTAATTGTTTTGTTTTAATCTATTTTTTCTGTATTAGTTGCTTTGTTGGGCTGCAAGGTGGGGCAGTTGGTTAGCACTGTTGCCTTGCAGCAA